GGTAAAGCCGGTATCACCATTAAAAGCATTTTCGCGGTTGAGAGTAACGTATGTGCGAGGTTCACCACAGCAGATTTACAGAAGACAAATGTGGGCTCTGATTGATGGCCAACAAACTTGTTTTTAGCTAGTTAACTAGTTAAGTAGTTAGTTAACGTTACTCTGCTCTGTAGCGTTCTGACAAACACGCATATTCTGGGATGGAGCTCATAACTAAAATATATCCTAGCTAGACGTCATCCAAGTTTAGCGGCATGGGGTGGTTCGTTATGCGGTTCATCTAGAGCTCCTCCAGGCGCACGCCAAATATTTCGTATGTTGGACATGTATCCGCATGTACGAAGGCATTTGGGGGCAACGGTCCCTTGTCATGAAGAGCAGCTGAAGGGAGGTCCTCCTTGAGCTAGCGGAATTGATCGTAGCGAACTGCAGGGAGGTTCCCGAGATCAAACCAGTCAAGGCTGCGATACAACCTCGGATGCACTGTAAGACTCCCGCAGTTCGTAATATCTGTACACGCAACAACGGTCTCTTTGTTCAGGGTCAATCCTGGTAGCGCCTGATGATTCCGTTTCCACGTTTTATTTGTTCTTCGGCGAGCTGTTGTTGTGGCACCGCTCGTGCAGCGGATCTGATCCAAGATTGAGTCATTGCAAATCCCTTGCCGGATGGCCGAATTGCATCGTACAAGAAAGCTAAAGAATAAAGATTAAACTTGAATGACTTTATGCACAATGAACCAAGCTCTCCGTCAGGATGCTTAACTATAACTAACGAACTCCTGAACGTTCCAATGACGAACATCTATTCTCAGGTCCGAAGTGGAGAATGTACCTGATTTGGTCTCACTCCCGCTTGGTTTTTAAGAACATCATCCGATTGACTCAAAAGGGTCCGTTGCTTACAAATACTCAAATCTAATAATGCACTTAAATGTACGTACATACATACATTACATTGTAGCAGTACATTACTACATCATCTACGGTAGATGGTGTGTACTATAGAGGTTCTTCACGCACCTCGCCTCAACCATTTGTCCGGGCGTATGCAAGCTTAGGCATCCACGGCTCTTACCACCAAAAGCTATGGAGTAATCCTCAAGCAAAAATCCGAGATTTAGACACGCTCAGCTCTTGCCAAAGGTGCCTGGAGGGCGGACGACTGTGCGGATGACAATCGATGATCAGAGCTCCAGGCTGGAACACTTGGGAAGCGGTATTTGGATTTGGATATCCACATGTGGCTTGGTGAAGGACAGGCCACAGTGAGTGACGGAGGTGGTTTCCCGTACTATGTCCATCGTACAGCCTATCTGCGACCATCTGTAGCGAAGATGAGGGGAGACAGCTGCAAAGCGGGAAAGATTAGACGCTTCTGCATGCAGTGGAAAACATTTGGTCGATTGAGACCTTGCTGATGCATCCGTCCGCCTAAGCTTAGCTGCTGCTCGAGTGATGTGACAGCTGCTCTCGCGGAAGGAGAGTGGAGTTCGTAGAGCTACCCTGCAGCTGGTACGATTGTTATGTCGTTGCGGGTGCATACGTTGAACGGGTCCGAAGAGAGATCTTCTGCGCCTTTATCTACCCTTTCGGCCCATTTTTCGGTGCCGGGTGGCTTGATGAGTTGGAAAGCTGCTAGTTATCTGAGCCGAAAGGAGGAGTGTGAATAGAGTGATGGTCAACTCTAATGTTCCTTCAATGGAGGAATGAGCTGTGCTCGACCACAGAGCATTGAATTGAGAACCGGCCTAGAAGCCACCGACTGAAGCTAGATAGTTAGCAGCGTACTCGAGCATGATGCTGTAACCTAATGGAAGGTAGAAACACAATATCTTCTGTATTGCGCAAGCGAAATTTAACCTTGCGCCTCTCGTTCTCCTCTGTCCTAGCCTCATGACTAACTAGGCAATAGAGCGTCAAAGCCATTAACTAGAAATGAAAATTTTAAAGCAAACCCCATTGAGAGCAAGGTGAGAATAACTGGCACGTAGTTATTTGAAATCAAACTGTTTTATCACACCTGTCTTTTGGGTTCTCTCTTGCAGTTGAAAGTTATCCCAAGAACCTGATTGAGTGTTGATGATGATCCTCAGCGAACTTGTCGGATTTCGGGAACCAATACCCGCGGCGCAGCTAACTTGTCCCTCTAGAGCGGCGCTCGCGCCAGCGTAGCGCTATGGCTGGCCAGCTACTCGTTGCTTCAACGAATGCTCTGTGCTCTGTGCTGCTGGTCGTGGGGTTCGCTAGTTAGGGAACGAATCCCAGGTCAAACTAAACCAATCGACAGGCCGGGAAGAGCCACCACTCAGCGCACCCCATATCAAGCCCCAAAGCTGCACATCACCCCGTGCATGATTCGCTGCTAGAACTTCGTGAGTGGGGAAGCGTGTATTCTAGCTGAATTATTTAATCAGAAACCGCCCTTTTTGGTGTGCTTGTCCTCTCTTTCTCCTCGCCCCTCGACTGTTTGTTTGACCGCCTTCATGGTCGTCGATATCCACTTCCTCACGCCTCGGTTTATAAACGAATAAACATGTGTTAAGCATCCAAGACGGCTTTTGCTGAATTTATCAGAGCCTAACTAGTGACACAGGTTGGTGGGAGACATGATGTCACTCCGGCCTCTGGTCGTCTGAGAAAAGGTGTTGATGCAGATTGTGGAGCCTGGCTCGCTTCCCCGAGAGCCTTCAGGCGTTGAATCACTAAAGGCGGATCGGTTACTTAATTGCTTTTGAAGGCGCTAGAGATTGAAAATATGATTTATCGATGAGGAAATTTACTTCACTATCTGGGTAGGAAAAGAAAAAAAAGGCTATTAGAGGTGGGGAATGATCTTCGCTGAATCCAAGCACCTCTATCAAGTTACTTTTGCGTGCGACAAAACGCAAATGGGACGAAATATAGTTGTAATACACCTTTCTTTTTTTGCCTTCGCCACGAGCTCCGGGACGCCACATTTTCCTTTCTTTTTCTGAATTCTATTTGTCGAAGATCATATCATGTCCGCTTGAGATGAAACGCAACCTTGGTCGCGAACAACGGTCCCCAACACGCGCCGGGAAACAAAGCAGATGCATTCCAATATACGGCAGCCATTAGTTACTCAGTGTTACATTTCACGGTGTAGATATGGAGCCGAGGATTCATATATACGAAACCCTTGAAAGCATTCCCGCCTCTCTGAAGGAATCATACTATTAAGTACTCCTTAATTGAGAACTGACTGGACGAGTTCAAGCCGGTGAATAGAAGAGACTACTGGCTATTGACAACTAATTGGAATTTTTCAACTTGTGAGCTTCGTCTTCTCCTGTGCATCTTGATAGGACAATAAGCCATTTTAGCTTTTCTTGATTCCTGAAGCGGAAACGATGCGGCTCTTGCGAATCTCTATCGCAAGTATCCAATGTCCTGGACATGGAACCAATCTACCACGTCCTGCAAGCAGTCAAATTGTGATCATCTATTAATATCAACCAATAAAGAGTTGAAAAGAAGAAGCAAAGGAAACAGGAACGATGGGAATGAAAGAAAGAATGAAAAAGGTTGTGTGAAAATCTTCGACACTTTTCTATGAAAATGTGCAAAAAGTGACATTACCACAGGTCAAGAGCTATCGATGATTCAGTCTAGTTCTTTCAACATCTCGGATAGTTATTCCGTCAACTGAAATTACTCTTCTTGAGTCACAAGATCGAATAAATCCAGTCGAGGATTCTCTATAAACTCTCTATAAACGAAGGTGGGGGCATGTTGGAAGGGATACCGGTTGTGGCGGCTGTTTCCGACATTTTGGCTCAATGAATTCACATTATTATTCTTCCTGGTCGCTCACTCGATTGGTGTCTTTGTCAAATCATTTTCAATGAGGATATGAGTATACTACCAAATTGAAAATTTTCACAGGAAATTGTCTCGAAGGATTGGATAGGAAATGGCGTTTGGCCAGTGTACCTTTTTGTTTTCGGGGATTATTTTCATGACAGGAACTGCGGAGATGATGCATGCCTGCATGCAACAAGGGGAAGTGGAGAAAAATGTTGTTTTGGAATTTACCACTTGATGGGAAAATTGCACACTCCCCCTTGATATATGTGTATATACATACTGCACGTATAAGTAGAGACGTTAGAACGCATGGCTCCCTGTGTTCTCGTAGGGTATTATGTGTCCTTATCACCCAGCTTTGAGTGAAAATATATCATATCAATTAATGAAGGCCAAAAGTATCTGAAATACATACCTACATACCTTCCTGATACTTGACTATTAATTTAATCTGGATAGACATGGTATATCCATTTTGAGATTTTGGGACGGGTGAAGCCACACTAACCATTGACCACGTCATTTAGTATGGAAAATAAGACACCGTTCAAGACAGATGTGGTATCCACTTCTTTCTGGCCCATGAGGTCCTCCTTGGGCCTTTAGGTATGTATGAGGAAACGCTAGCACTAGGGTCATGCAGTCAGAAGAGGGCGCCGTGGAAAATAAAGGTTTGCAGTTGGGCCCGAGTGGAGTATTTCTTACTTTTAAAAGGAGGATAAACACTGAGCAATAGTTTATGGCTCCAATTGAGAGGGATCTGGCACCAGACGGTTCCCCTTCCCTGGTCCATCGCCAAGACCCCATCGTCAGGAATTTATGAGGAAGCACGTTGTTGAATTCGCCCGTTGGACCGTGGCAGATGGGGCAGCCATGAAGAGAGGTAAAATAGACCATAGGAAGTTAGTTTGATACAATTAATATTTCCGTCTTCCTAGAAATTTTTTAAGGCTGAAAAGAGCGGAGAGTGTGGAGCCATATCGTTTGTGTCTTGTTCATATATTCTGCAGAAAATCCACCCCAAAGGAACGTAGAAATGACACCAGCTCCGTTTCTATTGCCATTCTCATTGTTTCCAGTGGTTTTGTTTTTCCATTCCCTGGAATTCCCACGCTTTGTACAGTTGAACTTCAATTACATACCATTTAACAGTCACGTACAAATGCAGTCATGACTTTCAACACTTCATCCACAGCTCACGCTGGGGAGCCCATTGCCATCATTGGCAGTGGATGTCGGTTCCCTGGCGGTGCTGATTCCCCCTCAAAACTATGGAAATTGCTCAGCTCGCCGCGGGATATTTTGAAGAAAATACCAGAAGATAGATTCAACCCGGACGGATACTACCATCCCCACGGAGAGTACCATGGGCATACCAATGTGCGAAATTCGCACATGCTAGATGAAGATTACCGCCAATTCGATGCCGATTTCTTCAATATTAGTTTTAACGAAGCTAGCTCCATTGATCCTCAACAGCGGCTGCTTCTCGAGACAGTGTATGAATCCCTCGAAGCAGCCGGATTGACTATCCAGGGATTGAAGGGCTCTGACACCGCTGTTTACGTCGGTGCAATGTGCGACGAATATAGCGATATGCTAATTCGGGATTTCAATTCCATACCCGTTGTAAGTGGTCATGGCATCTCTCAATGTTGCGTGGCATCAGGTTGAATCAGTACAACTAATGAGAGAGATCTTTTGAAGTATTTCCCAACGGGAACAGCGAGATCGATCTTGGCCAATCGGATTTCGTATTTCTTTGACTGGCATGGCCCATCCATGGCTATAGATACTGCCTGCTCTTCGAGCCTTGTTGCACTTCATCAGTCAGTCCAAGCACTGAGGACGGGGATCTCCCGCGTTGCTGTTACAGCCAGTGCAAATTTGTTGTTAGGACCTGAGCCATATATCGCTCAAAGCAAGTTTCACATGTTATCACCGACAGGCCGATGCTACATGTGGGATTCCCGAGCTGATGGTTATGGGAGGGGTGATGGATTTGCCTCAGTTGTTCTAAAGACCTTAAGTGCAGCCATCGAGGACGGTGACCACATTGAATGCATCATTCGTGAAACAGGCTTGAACCAGGATGGGAGAACTAAAGGTATAACGATGCCCAGCGCGGAAGCTCAAGTTTCTCTCATCCAAGAGACGTATAGTCGTGCTGGTCTCGACTTGAACAATCCCATGGAGCGTTGTCAATTTTTTGAAGCACACGGCACGGGAACCCCTGCAGGTGACCCGATAGAAGCGGAGGCCGTGCACCGTGCTCTTGGAAGTCGGCTGAGCGGAGATGAAAAGTTGTTCGTTGGTTCCGTCAAAACGCTCCTCGGCCACACAGAGGGAACGGCCGGTTTGGCTGGGATAATGAAGGTCTCGTTGGCATTGCAAAACTCTTCAATTTTGCCAAACAGGCTTTTTGACCAACTCAGTCCTGCTGTTCAGCCGTTTTACGGACATCTTGAAATTCCCACTAGCGTGATGTCCTGGCCGGAATTGCCCTCAGGCGTCCCACGACGGGCAAGTGTGAATAGCTTTGGGTTCGGAGGGACAAACGTTCATGCAATTATGGAGAGTTACGAACCAGGAACAAATCAGGAACTTCAAACCGAAAACAGAACAGTGCCTCCCGTATTTTCACCATTTGTTTTCTCTGCGAATAGCCAATCGTCATTGAAACGCTATTTGTCCGATTTCACAAACCATCTCAAGAAGAATCCAACCATTGACCTCAATGACCTCGCATGGACTCTTCATTCTCGACGCTCAATGCTCCCAGTTCGCGCTTCCTTCCCGGGACTGACGGTTGATGGGCTGCAACATGCGATTAAAAACAGCCTCGATGCATCAAGTACGACAGAAGATGAAGATATAGGATCACGTGCTTCGAGCCCCAACTCACAAATACTTGGCATTTTCACCGGCCAGGGAGCCCAATGGGCGGGCATGGCGAAAGAGCTCATCCTGAATTCCGAGTATGTGAGGGCAAGGATAGGTTACCTTGAGTCCGTTTTAGAAACTCTTCCGGAAGCGGATCGACCTCCCTGGTCCATGAGGGATGAACTTCTCGCTGATGGATCTGTGTCACGTCTGAGCGAAGCAACTTTGTCCCAGCCATTATGCACTGCCGTCCAAATTGTCCTTGTAGACATGCTACAGGAAGCAAACGTTGATTTCTCCGCGGTAGCCGGGCATTCATCCGGGGAGATTGGTGCTGCCTATGCTGCGGGTTACATTACAGCAAGAGACGCCATGATCATCGCTTATTACCGAGGACTCCATTCCAAACTCGCGCAAGGAAACAATGGAGAAAAGGGAGCCATGATGGCTGTTGGTGTTCCCTTTGAAGACGGTCAAGGGTTTTGCCAGGATGCAGGTTTCGAAGGTCGAATATCAGTTGCAGCTTGTAACTCACCTTCGAGCATTACCATCTCGGGGAACGCTGATGCGGTCGAGAAAGCCAGAGTCATATTTGAAAATGACGGCAAATTTGCAAGATTGTTGCGAGTAGACAAAGCTTATCATTCACATCACATGATCCCTTGCTATCGACGATATGTCGATTCCCTCAAGGCTGCCAACATTGGGACAGACAAACTAATCCATAAATGCGTCTGGTACTCGTCTGTCTATGGCAGGCTACTTACAGCTGGCGATGAAATCGGCGCAACATATTGGGCAAAAAATATGACGCAGAGTGTCCTTTTCTCTCAGGCTGTTGAGGCAGCTGTTTCGGATCCACGCAGTCAGTTCTTCAGCGCCTTGGAAGTCGGCCCACATGGAGTCCTTCGACAACCTGTGGAAGAAACATTAAAAGCAATCTCAATGAGTGCTCTTCCTTATGCATCCTGCCTTGTCCGAAACAAAAACGACATCGAAACCTTTTCAAACGCTTTGGGTCACTTGTGGAAGCATTCTTTATCCGCTGTAGTTGACTTCGAGAAATTTGAAACTACCATGTCAGGCGGCACAGCCAAGAAACCAATTGTCCTGAAAAGCTTACCGAAGTACTCCTGGACTCATGACACCCCGCTGTGGTACGAATCTCGTCGATCGAAAGCCCTGCGAAAAAGAAGTGTTGCTGGTCACCCACTTCTTGGAACTCGGAGCTTGGATGGCACAGAACATGATATTGTATGGCTCAACAATCTGCGACTGTCGGAGCTTCCATGGCTTCGTGGTCACCAACTCCAAGGCCAGACTGTATTTCCTGCAGCTGGCTATATTGCACTTGCAATTGAGGCTGCGGTCCAGATAAGCGGAACACAACCAATTCGGATGATTGAAGTCAAAGACCTCGTCATCGCTCGCCCTATCACTTTCGAGGATGAACACCATGGTGTAGATACCATGTTCTGTCTTCATATCGATCATGGGCTTGGACAACCTGGGGAGAGAATTTTTGCCAACTTCCGAGTGAACTGTGCACCAACAAGGGATGCTGATACGGTCGTCTTGACGGGAAGCGGTCAGATAGAGATATTACTTGGAGAAGCAACCAATGTAGAGTCGTTTTTTCCTTCAAGACAGGAACCTCCACCCTTAATGGCAGAGGTAGAGAACGATAAATTCTACACAGGACTCGAAGAGCTGGGGTATGACTATTCAGGCTCCTTCCGTGGCCTGTCATCAATGAAGAGAAAATTTGGGCGCGGAGTAGGGATAGTATCTCGGCCCATTGAAAACATCCATCTCTCCGAAGAGAATTTGCTTGTCCACCCTGCCATGCTTGACACGACATTCCAAGGCATCCTCCTAGCTCATTCGTGGCCAGGCGATGGCAGATTGTGGTCTCTCCACGTGCCTGTGTCAATAAGCCGCGTGCGAGTTAACGCATCCATTCTCTCTTCCAACAAAGACGCGCAGTTCTCCTTCGATTCCATGCTCGCAGCAGAGGACAGAGGCGAAGGTGTCCCATCCCACATTGGCGTTCAAGGTGACGTTGATCTCTTCACGGTCGATGGAAGTCACGGGGTTATCCAGGTGGAGGGGATTAAACTTGTTCCGTTTGCGCCGGCCTTGGCATCGCAGGACCGTCAAATGTTCTTCGCCAACGTCTGGAAAGTTGCCGCACCAGACGGCGATGTTGCGGTGGGCCAGAACTGGGCACCGCAGAGCGAGATTGACTTTGGCTGGGTGCTGGAACGCATCTCTTATTTCTATCTGCGCAAGCTTGTCGCAGAGGTCACCAAGGAGGATCTCGAGAAGGCAGAATGGTACCACCACAAGCTGCTCAACTATGCCAACCATATTGTCAGCTGCGTGGACCTGGGGACGCAACCATATGGGAAAAGGGAGTGGAATAACGACACTGCCGATGACCTCTATGCACTGATGGATTCTTATCCTGACAGCATTGAAGTCAAGTTAATGCGCAGCGTCGGAGAAAACCTTGTAGCGGCAGTTCGGGGAGAGACTGTAATTCTCCAGCACATGTTAAAGGACGGAATGCTGTATCAGTACTATGTGGAGTCCCTTGGTGTTCAACCCTTTTCCAACTTCATTGCCGAAGTCGTTGCTCAGGCCGCCCATCGGTACCCCCGTATGAACATCTTGGAAATCGGTGCAGGCACTGGAGGCGCAACCAAACGCGTTATCAACAAACTAGGGGACGCCTTCACCTCCTACACCTTCACTGATATATCGACTGGTTTCTTTGAAACAGCCAGAGATGTCTTTTCTGACTACTCCGATAGGATGATTTTCAAAGCATTGGATGCGGAAAAAGATATCGTGTCCCAGGGATACGAAGAACACTCCTATGATCTCATTGTTGCATCTCTCGTTCTACATGCTACGAAGGATCTCGTGTATACGATGTCCAATGTCCAAAGATTGCTGAAACCTGGTGGTATTCTCGTCATGCTTGAAGTGACTGCAAATGACACCCTGAGGATGTCATTTACCATGGGTGGGCTCTCTGGTTGGTGGCTTGGTGCTGACTCTGGGCGGCCGTGGTCTCCCTGTGTCACAACGGCTGAGTGGAATGATATATTACTTCAGTCTGGTTTCTCAGGAGTTGATTCTGTCACTCCTACCATGATGACTTTGCCACGACCCTTTTCCGTGATAGTGTCTCGGGCAGTCGATGCCCGCATCAAGCTTCTTGAGGAGCCACTACTGCCAGCCCCTGAGTCGAGAATCCAAGATCTCCTAATCATTGGTGGAGCTTCTCCAGAAGTTAGCATACTTTCCAAGGACGTGAAAACCCTCCTGGAGTCTCATGCTAGTTCAGTTAAAGTAGTCGAATCAGTTGACATGCTCCAAAATGCAGAGGATGTCCCCGCCATGGGTGCCGTTATTTGCCTTTCCGACTTGGAAAAACCCATTTTCAAGGATCTTACAGCTAGTTCTTTCCAAGGACTCAAGTCAATTTTTGCTAGATCTCGGAATATTCTTTGGCTTACTCGTGGTTGCCGAGGCGAAGACCCATACGCCAACATGGCTGTGGGTTTTGGTCGCGTCGTAGCCGGCGAGATGTCGAATGTCCGTTTGCAATTTGTGGACTTCGACAACAACACTCAGCCTGACCCTTGCATGCTCGTTGAATACATCCTTCGACTTCAAATTACTGACACTTTTGCCAAGGAAGGACGCATGGATGATATCCTGTGGACGACTGAACCTGAGATGTCGTTTGATAACGACAAGCTTTTGATCCCTAGAGTTATTGCAGAGAAGGAGTTGAATAACAGATACAACTCTGAGCGACGTGTCATTACTAAATCTGTCTGCGCCCAAAATTCTCGGATTAAAATTAAAGGTTCTGAGGGATCTTTTACCCTTCAAGATGACATTTCGCCGACCTGGGTTTGTGATGGCGCAGAAAATGACACTGTTACGATTCAGGTGGACTATTCGTTGTGCTCTGCTATCCCCATCTCTCCTACCACAGCTTTGTATCCATTAGTTGGACGTGATGTCAAGACAAACACGCCTCTTCTTGCACTGTCCAACGGCAAAGGTTCTTCTGTCATGGTGCCAAGGGATCTCGTTTCTCCTTATTCCCTACCCAAGGGCGTGACAGCAGCCTCTCACTTGCTTTTAACTGCATATGATCTTTTAGCTCAGTTCGTCCTCACTCATACGGAGCAAGACGGAACTTTAATCCTGTTTGAGCCAGATCCATTGCTTGCGCATATCATTGAGCGCCGCTCTGGCGTTACGGGTGTCACCATCGTTTGCCTCACTACCTTCCAGGGCTCTACCAGAGCTAATTGGGCATTTATCCATCCTCTGGCCAGTTCCCGTTCCATCAGGATGTCCTTGCCGCGACGTGTGTCGACTTTCCTTGATCCGTCGCAGACTTCCGGAACGAGCAAACTGGCTTCCCGTATCACAGCATTGCTCCCCTGTAGTGTCAAAATTCTTAATATTCCCAGTTTCCAAACATACGGAGGATCCGATCAGAATTCGTGCAGCGCTTCAAGGTTTAATTTGTTAAGAGAGACCCTTTATGCAGTTCATTCGATATCTAAACAATGTCCATCCGTCACACCTGTCATTCTTTCGCCTTCGAACATTAACAGCGATTCAGCTGTGTGGTCCTCAATTTCGGACTGGGCAACATCAGAGATGGTACCTGTTACTGTTAACCCTGCTGATTCAGTCTCACTGCTTCGCGGCGACAGAACTTACGTTCTTATTGGGTTGGCGCGTGGTTTGGGTCCATCTCTTTGCGAATGGATGGCTGGACAAGGGGCTAAATACATTGTCCTCAGCAGCAGGAGTCCTAAACCGGACCAGAATTGGATATCCGCAATGGCTGCTATAGGAGTGGTTGTCAAAATTTATGCCAGGTCAGTCACTGTCTGCTATCTCACCATCTTCAATTTGTGATACTAATTTTGTCGCAGTGATGTCTCGAACCGGGAGGATTTGACTCGAATGATCGCCGAAATTCAAGAAACACTACCACAAATTGGAGGTGTTGCTAACGGAGCGATGATAATCGATGATACACCCGTAGTAGAGATGTCATTTGAGCAAATAGATAAAGTGCTTAAGCCTAAGGTGGATGGAAGCCGTTTCCTTGACGAAATATTTTACAATGAACCTCTAGATTTCTTCATTCTTTTCTCATCCTTGTCTTGCACATTTGGTAGGAGTGGGCAAGCCAACTACATAGCCGCAAACATGTATATGACCAGTCTTACCGCAAATCGCCGAAACCGTGGCCTTCCTGCATCCGTGATTGATGTCGGCGCTGTTGTTGGGATCGGCTATATCACACGAGAGGTCACCCAAAAGGTGATTGACCAGCTTCCAGATGCAGGATTCCACTTCATGTCAGAACGTGATATCCATCTCGCGTTCGCGGAGGCGATTATCTGTGGCTATCCGAACTCCGGACGATATGAAGAACTCATTACTGGTTTACGTGTTGTCTGGAGCAATGGTGAGGCAAGGCCTGCATGGTACTCAAATCCGCGATTCTCTCACACGGTACGGAATGCAGTGAATGATCCATCATCCGACAAGAGCAAAACTGGTGCCGTGGTTTCTGTTCGTAATCAGCTCCAAATGGCAACCTCCACGGATCAAGTTCTGCAGATTATTCAAGGTTTGTAGCTCTTTTGAATTCTTTCATCCACTTGAGGAGCAAAAAAAACTAACGAAACTAACAGGTGCTGTCATCGAAAAGCTAAAGGTTATTCTGCAGCTGAGGCCTGAATCATTCAAAGATACAAGCTCCCTCCTTAAGCAAGGTGCTGACGAACTTGGCATGGATTCTTTGGTGGCGGTTGAGGTCCGCTCGTGGTTCCTTCGGGAATTAGAAATCGATATGCCTGTGCTCAAAATTCTGGGGGGGGCTACGCTTGCTGAGATTTCTGACTTCGCAGTCATGAATTTGCCTCGTGAACTTATCGCCATATCGGAAGCCGATGAAGACTCGACGAGCAACTCAGACAGTAATACAGGTGCTGCGACTTCCTTTACTGAGGAATCAGCACCTCTTTCTGAGCTTTGTACATCTCCTCCGTCTGAGGCGGGCCACAAGATCACCTCGCTTGAGCCTCCATCTCCCGTTGATCGGTTATCGACAACCGCGGATCCCAATCCAAAATTTATATACGAGGAATCCGCTTTAGGTGCTATCGATTGGTTGAGCGAAACTAGCGTCGAAGAGTCACTGGAGCTTCTCAAGGTAACAAATTTGAAAATCCAAGACGGCGACGATATCACTGTGGTTCTTACTGGGTCCACTGGATTCCTCGGGAAAGCTATTTTGCAGCAGTTGATTGCAATGGACCGAGTAAAGAAAATTTTCTGCCTTGCAGTGCGCAATCTGAATAAACTTGAAGCCGTGAATTCCGAGAAGACCGTGTCCTATAGCGGCGATCTCATGGCAAGCAATCTTGGACTTTCCCCACAAGATGCAGCCTTTGTCTTTGGACGAAGCGATGTTGTTATCCACAACGGTGCCGACGTCTCATTGCTGAAAACGTACCGCACGCTTTCCCCCATAAACTTCAATTCGACTAAGGAGCTGGTACGACTAGCCCTAGCACACGGTGTAACCAAGCAGTTCCATTATATCTCCAGTACCAGTGTGGGACAGGTTAGTCGGAGAAAGGATTTCTATGAGGAGTCCCTTGCAGAATACACTCCCCCCACCGACTGTGTGATGGGCTATGTCGGCACCAAATGGGCCAGCGAAAGGTACTTGGAGAATATCAATCAATCCTCCAACCTGGCCGTTTATATCCACCGACCTTCAACCATCATCGGTGAGGATGCACCGAAACACGATATCATGCACAACCTCCTTCATTACTCCAAGGAGCTGAAGGTCGTTCCTGATTTCGGGGATGTGAAGGGCTGGTTCCACTTTGTCACTCTTGAAGAAGTCGCCAAGGGAATTACCAGCCAATTCTTTCCCGCTGCTGGCCCCGCTGCTGAAGCCAATGGCGAATCTACCCAATCGCGACCTCCTGTGGCATATATACACTACAACGGCGATGAAGAAGTCGATATGCGACAGTTCAAAGAGTATATGGAGAAGAAGAACGGGGTGCCGTATCGATTGCTGGGTATGAATGAATGGATACAGCAGGCTGAAGGCGTCGGCCTTCTGCCACAGATTTCGGTCTTCATGTCCGCAGTGGACTCGATGCATGGCAATGGCCGTGATTTGCAGCGAATCAGGAAGGGGAGAAGAGAGGGATAAATATAAATTGGTGTTCAGTGGATTTCATTGATTTTTTATTTTTTATTTTATTATTTTATTTATTTATTTATTTGTTGTTCTTGAATTTGATATGTTTAATTTGTTGAATTCTAGGCTTACCTAGATGAATTGAGTTTTGTTTTGCCCCTGTTTCTCTTATGCTACCAGTTTTCTTTCACTTTATATACTTGCTCTGTTTTTATTATGTTTTTTGGTGGGTACCCCTGAATGTTTAAAATACATGATAATATTTCTTTCCTATTTCCTGTCTATGTTTTACAACTTCAGAGGTGGTTACTGATTGCTTTTGAGACTGTCGCTTTATATCTCCCAATACTTTTTGTGTTATAATCAAATTGTATAATCAAATTGTAAATACACAAATAGTCTCATAGACGCGCATTTAGCTTTCAGACTATGTAGGAGGATTTTACTTCCTTTTTTTTGTGCCCCCGAGAAGAAACAAGAAACTCCTTTCCCCCTTTCCTGGACCAGGATGGCTTTAATTTTAAACTATAAATGTTTTTCCTTATAATCGATTCAGCTTCTTCTTTACAAGTGGCGATACAGTGCTCAACTCAACCTTAATAACTAATTGCTCAATTTTGCTTTTTTTTATGAGAAGGTTTCTTTTTGCATCTTTTCATTTTACATGCTGGTTCCTCCCTGTACAAAAGCTCTTGCTCAGAGAAACTTCATTACCTCTGCTTGATTGATCCTCCAAGCTCTTGAAGTTTCAGCTTCGCTGACACCATTCAACGTTCCTCTGTCCCTTAGCTATCACCAAAACTTTGAATAACCAGAGTCTTTTGGAGAGCTTACTCTTCCATTGGTATGTCAACCACAACATCCTCAGCTCACATAAAATCTGTTGGACAAAGGCCTTGATGTTTTAGCAAGGATGAACGGCACTATATAACATTGTACCCGCTTCCGTTTGGAAATGCCCCAAAGGTCCCAGGAGAAAGAGATATTGCTGGGAAGCAAAAGGATATATTTCTTTTCCTCAGGTGCTAGTGCCAGTTTGAACCCGTGTCAACTAACTAACCTGGTTAATTTGTTGTCTCATTGTTTCATATTTTGTTATGCACTCTATCCATTGCAATTACAATTTCCTTTATGAAAATTTCTTTGTTGTCGACAAGAAGATATCATTGACAAAAGGGCAAGAAAGCAGCGGTTTGCATTCAGATATGCCAATCTTCTCTTTTGTCTGCAAGAACCCGAATGAGCCAGCTCATTATTCCCATATCCCATTGAAAAGTAACGGTTGTTTTCCCTTTGATATGAGCGGGTTGTTACACTCTATCCCTAGAATGAAGGATTATATCCCTTTGCATTCCTCTTATCTAGTATCAGAAGCGGGAATCTATGATAAAAAAAAAATACTTACGATGTCTAGGAGAGCCCTGGTATAAGCCTCTACTGGGATATCCCAAGACGCCACATACCACACTACCTTCCTGGTATAAAACTTATCCAGTTCAACGGACAAGGTCAGCTCAAAAAATAAACGGCAGTTCCCCAATGGCTGTAACTGAAGAACCAAATTAACCTGCAAGGAAAAAGGAAAAAGGAAAAAAAAAAAACCCCCAGCAACATAGATCACGCCACACTCAATGGATGAAAGTGGCATTCACCATCCTTCTCCGAATTCTAACGGCAACGGGATGTATGGTGCCCTGAGTTTAACGGGCTTGGATGAATTCTCCTCGCAAGAAAAAGCCCAAAGGATAGCTGCGGTAGCCAACGACATCACCGCATCAATAATCTATGTCGCCAAACACGCGGAGGCAGGTAACCTCACTTCCGAACAGCTCAAGCCCATACACAATCTGATTGATATGGTGAATGTGGTGGGGAGAGAGCACAACAGGAGGCTTGAGCGGGAACTCGCGGAGCAGGATCGACAGGTTGAAGAGATGAGGAAGAAGCTGGAGGAGCAGAACCGGCAGATTGGGGAAAGGAGGCATGTGTGTAGGGCCATAAGGAAGATGGATGTGGTGATTGGGGAGTTGAAAGCGAGTGTCGAAATGCTGGAGACGGAGATTAAGAAGATGCAAGATGACCGAGGCACTTTGGCGATGTTGCGGGAAAGGATCGATCTTGAGGTGCAGTGAATGTGCAGGGAGTAAAAGAAAAACAAATACAAAATGTCCTTGTCATTGCCTGCCTTTTCTCTCTCTCTCTCTCTCTCTCTTTTGGCAAATCTCTGAGAAAGGATGGATTAGCTACCCCTGATATTCCGTTGACCTCATTGGGCCGGGTCCTTGGGCTGCTCTCCACAATGGATGAATTGACCGTACTATATTCTTCACTACATGTAATCCAAATAATAAGGCTATCCTCAATGTATCCCTGACCTAAAACAATTCCCATTGTCTATACATGTGCTGTATCCCTCTACGCCTTTTACCCCTTTTTATGTGATGAGTTGCTGCAAAGCTCCGATACACGTGACTAACATTAGGTAAGCAGAAGTTGCCGAGGCTCATTAGTGCCAAGAAGTTCGCGCTCAAAAAAAAATAAAAATAAAAATAAAATAAAAATAAAAAAAGAAAATAAAACTCTTTGATATCGATGTTATCAAGAAAAAAGAGGAAAAAGGACGTGGGAAGTGGATAACACAACAGCCTTGGCTTAGATGCTCTGCGATAAGAGGACCCGGGCCAGCCATCATGGTTGCTGTGCTGCATGTTTGTACGTATGCATACCCAGGGACGCCGGCAATGACAGCCTCAACAGCATCATAAATCAAAAGTCCTGCCGCTGCCCCTGATCCAACAGATGGAGCGGGCGGTACTTTCATGGGGAGTACCGTCAACAGCGTCCAGGCTGGGCTATTCGGTCGGCATTTTGCCACATGAAGGGTAGAGATATAGTTTGTTAGCGGTATGTTTGCCGTCTTAGAAAAGCCGACAAAATGTTATCCGTGATAATAATATCAACCTTTCTTTCTTCTCTTGCTCCAGATTTCTTCAAGCTAATCCGGGGCATTCCATGCCCTTCTCCCCTTAGCTTCATTGTCACAATATAAATCTGGTTCCCCGCAAGCCAAATTCCAACCTCGGAACCTGATAAAGTTTCCGAACATATAACCCACCTCCAACGCTGACCGGTCTCTTTTCACCCATACATCTTCAAATATATAAATGACACCAGCTACGACAATGAGCAATCCGGGAGATTTTGATGCTGTCCGCAAGGACATAGTTGCTGAGCTGAAGAAACCTGGATACGATGACGGCAGTGCTGGTCCTGTCTTCGTCCGTCTAGCCTGGTAAGAATGCAACCACGTCGTGTTTCACCCCATCCTGTCCGACGAAAGCTAATCCCTTTCTCTCCCCCTCACATCAAGGCATGCTTCCGGCACCTATGACAAGGAAACAGACACTGGCGGCTCCAACGGCGCTGGCATGCGCTATGAAGGTGAAGGAGGCGACCCCGCCAACGCCGGTCTCGAATACGCCCGCTCATTCCTCGAGCCCGTCAAGAGACGGCATCCCTGGATCACATACTCAGACCTCTGGACCCTGGCCGGCGTTGTAGCCATCAAAGCCATGGGTGGACCCAGTATCGCCTGGAAGCCTGGCCGGACCGATTTCGTCGACGACTCCAAGCTCCCCCCACGCGGTCGCCTTCCTGACGCCTCGCAGGGCACCGACCATCTCCGCCACGTCTTCTATCGCATGGGCTTCAATGACCAGGAGATCGTAGCATTATCCGGCGCACACACTCTTGGCCGCACGCATATGAACCGCAGCGGCTACGAAGGGCCATGGGTCAACAACCCAACGCGCTTCTCGAATCAGTATTTCAAGCTCCTGACGACGCTGGAGTGGCAGCCCACGACGCTGTCGAATGGTGTGAAGCAGTTTAACTATGTGGATCCGGACGTGTCGGAAGACGAGAAGGACCAGCCGCTGATGATGTTGCCGACGGATATGGCGCTGTTGTCGGATCCGGTGTTTGCTAAGTGGGTTAAGGTGTATGCGGAAGACAAGGAGATGTTTTTCAGCCACTTTGCAAAGGTGTTTGCGAAGTTGTTGGAGTTGGGAATTAGGCGGGACGCCCAGGGGAGGGTCATCAATACGGATGACACACTGGGGGGGTATATTTCTGCGCCGAAGAAGATTGATGAGCCAAGGGCGAGATTGTGATGGTTACCTCTTCCCTTCTTTCCTTTCCCTTCCTTCTTCTTCCTTCTTCTCTCATTGTATAATATCCGCCTTTGCCTGCTTGTGTTTACTTCTCCTTCGTGACAAGGGAATGTTTAGCGATAGATTGCTTGAGATACCGATCTTAAAAAGTGCATAGAGAATAGAAGAAGTAACTGGAAATCTGCTAGTTACTAAACATAGCAAATATAATCAAAGAAAGAAAAAAAAAATGATTGAAGCTTCCCAATTCATCAATTATTAATCTATTAACTACGGAGTAGTTATTTTAAAAACGTAAAAATGTTGTCTTTGCCTTCTTGACAAATGATGAGACAAAGGGGAGGGGGGAACAAAAACATGAAACAACAAAACAGGGAGAAATTTGAAAAGCCTCCAGCTCCAAGAGAATAAGGAAACATTCCCTTGTGTTAATGAGGAGAAGTGAGCTAAGTTTGTTAATGTCGTATTTCCCACTGCCAGTATTTTGCGGGGTTTCAGCATTAACCAAATTAGTTAGCGACTAACTACTTGACAAAATAATCAGCCATCATTGATTCTTTAGCTGGCGTTACGCCGTTACTACCTGGCTGCGTTGTGATTGGGAGGAATAGAGTTTCCAGTCACGTTAGGTGATTGGCGGACGCCGTCTTGAGATTTGGGGAATCTTTGGTGTCTCTGAAAGTTGTCGACGTCTCACCATCCTCAATATACGGTTGTGGGAGAAGGAATTGAAGAAACAAGAAAGGAAAACATGGGTGATTTGCTTTCAGAATCCAGAACTCCGTAGGGAATACTCAAGCCACTTGGATATGGTCAATGAGACATAACATTACAGCAAAATAGAAATGGAATATATTATTTGAGGTAATGAATGAAAACTATGCTGCGCTTACTATCTTGCGATAGCAGAAATTTATTGAGAGAACTAGCATCCGGCGGCGCAAGGGCCGGAACATGAAAGGAGTGGGAAATCGGTAAGCGTAACACTGAGGGCGTCAACCGACCAAAACAAGGGGGTGTAAAAAAAAAGAGAGTAAAACCTAAATGCAAATTAGAACGTAGAAAGAAACGTCTCAGAAATCGCCTATGGCAACAGAAGAGGAATGAGTGGACTCTTTACATAAGATATGTAAAGATAATGATGAACAAGGAAACGAACATATAAAAGAAACAAATGAAACCCTCATCCAGAGAAAGGGGTGAGGGGAGAAACAAGAAGCAGAAATGTATATTAATCTCTGCGTCGTTTTCAAGGTTCTCCGGATTCCTCAAAGATGACCTCTTCATATTCTGGTGCTTGCTTACGCTTCCTAGATGAGTCATTTTGCTCCAGATACTGATATGTCTCTGAATACTTCCAAGCGGAGTTATCTGGTTGCATTTGGAGGGGTGGATTACTTGCTCCATCTTGCACAGCTGGCTGGCTCGGCTGGAGTCCCGGTTCATCAAAGGCCACTTCATAGTATCGTTGAACTAATGGGTTATTCTCAGAGATTTGCTCGGGGTTAACGGTCGGTACCTCTGATGTATTCTGGCTCGGCTGATCATCTATATGCCCAGGATCTCGTCCGAACGAGGCTATGTAATTTGCAAAGTACGGATTGTTAAGTTCAAGAAGCCTGGGATCAATAGTTTGGTCCTTGTTAACTGGGAACGTATTCTGTCGTTGAGGCTGTGCGGAGACGAAGGATGGAGGTTCTGGTAGAGTTATAGCTACAGGTTTTCCGGACGATGTCGGCGCGTAAGGTCCGTCCGGCTCTGGTCCTTGAGGGAAGGGATTCAGTGATTGTTCAGCCGTAGCAGGATTATACTGCTGGTTCACACTCTCCGGGGCAGAGGGCAAAGGCAAGTTCTGACCTGAAAAGTTAGTGAGTTGGGGTTTTCCCAGCAGTTTAAATGCGTCATCAAAGGCATTTAAGGGGAGATTTTCCGGAATTGCAATCCCCGGGGTGGATACTATTTGCGGATTTGAAGCCGAAGAATCCAAGCCTGGAACAATGACATGTCCACCCTGGTTAGCGCTTTGAAACGCAGATGATGGTGGTTGGATTACTTGCATTGGTTGGGGACGTGCTTGCTGAGGAGCTGCCGGCTGAAGGGCTGCTGGCCGGTGGTGCGCTGGTTTGGAGTGCAATGGTTGGTGATGCAGTAGTTGATAGGGTGCTCGCTGAGGTGATGTTGGCTGATAGGGAGTCTTCTGAGATGGCACTGGCAGATATGACGCTGGATAACGGGATGTTGGTAACTGCTGAACTCTATTAGAGCCCTGGACACCTCTAATGTGTACGTTTCGTTGCGGTCGCTGGGAAGCAGATGGGTGCATCTGTTGACGAACTCCCGGGTATTCCACAGCCCCACTTCTCCGGCCCCTGCCATCCATGGTATAGCGGACTGTTCCTAGCGAACTTGGTGGAAGTCCCATGCGGCGCTGGTGCTGTGACGTTATACGTTGGAGTTGTGGGCCGAAGCTAAATCTGGGAGGTACCGCAGCTTGTACAGAGTCTTGTGTACTCGATTTCCTTGGCGATGGTGGTTCGAGGGGAATATTAACATTTGTAAAATAAGTTCCCGAGGAGGTCGCTAATCCGGATTGTGTTTGGCCTGTTGATAGAGAGGGTCGGCTAGAGGTTAATGATGTAGCTGGAGCTCTATAAACCTCATTGTGTTCGACGGATTGAATAATCTTCTCTATGGCACGACGAGCCGCGTGCAGGTAAGGTCTTGCAGGGAAAAGCACTCTCTCGTAGAAGAGCAACGCCGAGTGACCTTCCCACCACGATAATGGAACTCGCTCTGAGCTGTCCGTTGTACAAATGCCCCCTATAATCTTCCCTTCGAGCTGGTGTCCATCGTACATTCGAATTTTCCCATTATCGGTTTCATGTCGCTCGTGATCATTCCAAAAGACCCTGTAGCGAAAAGATCCACCCATTTTAACAGGGTATATTCCACCTAACCACCGATATACTGTGCTTTGCGTATTATTCTTCAGGTCTTGGTAGTTGATAGTAATGGCGCTGGCAGTATGGGCTGTAGGAGGCGCACAGGCATCTGTTGCTAAAGCAAGGCGCAATGGTAGGCTCTCAAAGTTTCGTGAAACCTTGACATCCTCTCCACATCCTGAACATTCCGTATGATAAGGTCTCTCAAAAAAATTGGCCAGTTGCGCCTGGATAGTGTTTTCCTTACTGCAAATCTGGAGAGGCACGTAGCAGGAAGACCAAGGTCTTCGTTCAGCAGCACTTTGCTTGCATGGGCGCTCATGTTGAGGATTTTGAGAATACTGAACAAGAAATTGAGAGAAAGATTTGGCACAGTTTTCCCACACCCACCGAACCGCAGAAACACCACCCCAGGAATATCCTCGAAGGTGCGTAATGAACATCCTCTTCAGCGGATCCATAAAACTGTAATCGGATAATTCCTCCCAATTTTTAGACACCAATCTCAAAAATATTCTCTCTGGTTCGCTGAGTCTAGAATCCCATTGTGAGTCAATGCCTCGATCGGCTTTCGTAAGCCCAGCATCAAGCAAATTTCCCGCGACAATGACGCAGTCAATAGCTTCGAAGTCATTAACATTTCCTGCAACTGGCCCGCGGCCACGGCAGGGGTATTTTGTGCCTCCTCTTTCCTGGGATACAAGATTTGGGATTATTCCAGGCTGAATGGGCTGGATGATGCACCAGATAGGAGCTCGTTCAAGTCGTTGATAGTGAAACTGTAGCAAGGACTTTCGAAGGCATTTTGCTATTTCCTGGTCGGGAAGAAAACCGGAATTGAATGGAACTGGTTCAACAGAGCCAGGCTTACCGGTTCTGGATAGCAGAGAAATTGACGTTTCTTGAGTCGCTGCGGGTTGGCGATGGGACCCTTGTTGTGAACCAGCGCCCTCGCCCAAAGTCGAGAGGCCCAAAGCACAGATATGATCAAAAAATTCACTCTTAGAGGGCTTGGATGGTATTCTCTGAAAGATGCCGAGGAGGTTTCGAAACATCTCTTTTTTGGATCTGCCAGACATATGCTTGCGACCGCATCCATAATATCGGATCAGTGCTTCGAGTTCTTTCAGCTTGAAATCCTTTATCTCCCAACCGTACAGGTTAGGGGGCACGGGTGGCGAAGGGAAATAATTAACATTGGAAGGGTTGTTCCTCTCTGGGCAATATGGATCGTTGCTCATGATTTCAACAGAAATTGAAGCTTGCGTTAATGGACGATAAATGCAGAAAAGGCTGTTGCTGGTTCTGCATTCGTAAACAGCGGATGGGGGGGATAAGTATCACGACGAGAAGGCAAAAAAGATGACGCCATAAACGTAGATATATATAGAGAGTAAGAAGTCATACCTTCACATTGTTTCAGCAGCAACCGTTAACAAAACGGAGCCGCATCGGACAATGAGAACAAACGGTCCAATTGCAACATCGAATAAGGGTTGTCAAAGCCTTTGAAGTTGAAACAACTGTAATGAGAAGATACGAGGAAGATGTCCCCACAGACAATGGTACGCACCAAGTTGAAGGTTTAACTCCCCTCAACACCTCGCCTTTGAGGGATACCGAAACCATTGTAGCCTATTAACTTCCAGGAAGTTACCCCAATGCGGATATGAAGTCAAGCCAGTAAAGACAGCGATTTGTGAGCACATACCAGTATGTCTAAGACAGTTCTTCGGGTAGAGAAGGCAGCGTTAACACAAAACGTTTACCTTGAAATATGACACTCTGGCAAATTGGTAGTTGCTATGTAGGACTCGGAGATCGGCTGGAATAACATCTTCAATGATGGGAATTGACCAAGCTGCGATTGCATGTTCTGAGCGCATGTGTTTGAATTTCAATGGTATTCATTCAGGCACAGAGTAGCGTCGTCAAGTCTACATATATCCATCTATAGGAATTGAAATTCCGCTGCCCTCAGGAGATGCGATCTCAAATCACATCGTCGAAACGGGGAGAAGTATATAATAGATGATGAGCATTGTAGGACGTTGAGCTCCTGTTGATTGAAGGATAGCAGAGAGCTTCTCCTCAGAGCCGCAGTAGCCTGTGTTGGAGTCGAGTACAGGACATGGACAGTGTTAAGGAGAAGTATCTGAAACGAGGTGTACTGTCAAGGAAAAGACTTTGACATGCTCCTGGGATTCCAGAGACGTTGATCCACATCCTTTGACCTGAGGTGTGAGTGTTTTTATTTAACGCCCAGTTAGTCCACGTGCCTTAAGGGCACGTGATCTAGTAGAGTCCGCGTCGAACTATAGGGCGGGTAGAGCTACGCCCGTAGGCGACTACCTATCTAGTAGCTATCTTACAAATGAGGCAAAATGGGTTGCGTATTGCTACACCGGCAAAGCCCGTGGGTCGGTTGCCATAGGGCAGAGGTTTTGAGAGGTTTTAAGTTTGTGGGAGGGAGGTAGGGGAGGCGGATAGAAAGGGAGGCAAGGAAGGAAAGGAAGGGGAGGAAAGAGAGGAAGGAGAGGAAGGCGATGAAGAAGACGGGAGCAAGACAGAAGAGGGGATGGTCTGTGAGATCTGATCTGGAGGTGCGCGTCGGCGCATTGGACAGATATTCTGATAGAAGGCTGTTTCTCTTAGCCAGTTATTGAATTCTAGGGCCCCACGCGAGGTTGCCAGTGTCTCGCGAAGATTGTAGATAGGCCGGCGCTGCTTTGCTGCTTTTCTTGCAAGAGTGCAATAGTAGAAATGTTCTGGGGTTTTGCTATGTCTGCACCGGCAGTAGCACTCTGCATCTTCATGCTTAAGGTGGCTGTGGTAGGCTGCAAAGTCTCCATGACCTGATCAGGCGGCATAGAGCTTTCCTAATGTGAAGCGTGAAAGTTTTACCTCTGTTGAGGCTCTCTTTAGTGGGATCTCCAGCTCCATATAGTGTTTGGGCTGATTTTTGGCCCAGTAGTTCTCAAAGGCCCATGTGGTTTGTTCCATAGTGTGCCGCTTTATATAAGCTAGAGTGCCTATGCTGTCAGGTTGAGGTACCATGCTTGCACTTGCTGCCTGCGCTGCAGCTGCTTTGGTTTCAAGATCTGCCTTTTCATTACCAGCCACGCCTGCGTGGCCTGGGACCCATCTAATGACCACCCTGCTCTGGGTGGTCAATGGGAGCCTATCCCTGCTCTGCCAGGCCTTTATGGCTTTCAGAAACTGCGCGAAGACCTGCTGGCTAGAGGTGTTTGGCACGGATCCAAGGGCTCATGCTACCTCCAAATTGTCTAGGCAAATGTAGACATTGCTGGCAAACTTCACCTGAGGTGAGGTGGTGGCTTCCTTTAGGCCCTGCAGGGCTGCCATTGCCTCTGCATCAAAGACCTCTGCTTTATCCATTGGCAGGTTTCCTGTGGAGATTAGATGGTGTTCACTACCCCAGCATATAGCCCATCCTGCACCAGTCACGCGCTGAGGGCGCTCTATCTGTGAACCATCAGTAAAGACCACCAGATCCAGGGGATTGCATTGTTGTAGCCAGCTCTTAAAGTCTTGTGCTGCCTGTTCCTTTGTGTGGCCTGCCTCATACCCAATCTGCAGATCTTCTTTCCTGGGAAATCTCATCCAAGAGAGTGTGAGTAGAGGGTCATATGCTTCTATCCCACCAGCATGACTGGACGCTCTAGACAGACGTGTGGTATAGGGCTTGGTGGTAGCTACTTTATTAGAGCGCCTCACTAGTGGGTGCCTCTTGTCAAGCTTTTTGATTCTTACTGCATATACAGCACACCGGTTGTCTAGTGTCTCTTTCATTGGCATGATTCCTAGCTCACAGTGTAGAGCTGAAATGGGTGTGGTCTTGTAGACTGGCAGTGCCCCTTGCAAAGCATCTCTAAGGGCTAGATCTAGCTTTCTGATTAGGCAATCCATTCAATTGAAGATTTTCTTTCCCTTCTCCATTCATGTGGCTCCAGGCCACCAGGCCTCTGCTCCATAGCAGAGCACAGAGAGCACACAGGCCTGAATGGATTGTCTAAGCAGTTGTACTGAGGCGCCTCTTGCCGTGTTGCTTAGTGCCTGTATGCCATTAGACACCTGTCGTGCCTTAGCCGCCATGATCTCCACATGTTTCTTGAAGCTCAGTTTTCTATCTAGCCAGATTCCTAGATATCTTATGGAGCTTTTCACTGCATTTGCTGTAATAGAGTGAGTGCCAGATGTTGTTTCAAGGTCAATTGAGGGGTCCGCCCACATGCTTGGAGGCACTCCTGGTTGCCACACGAGGTGCTTGATATTGAGGTCGCCAGTGAGGAGCAATGGGAGTGCTGGGACAGACCAGGAGAGAAGACAGCCCACACCTTGTCCAGGATCCTCTGCGCCTGGGGGTGCATTGTATATGTTGACTGTCTGAAGCTGTAGACCCCAGGCCTGTATGTGCAGCATGTGGATGTCCCAGTTTTCTGCCCAGGGGCCTGGGACTGCATGAGCATGGATTTGTGGGTGTTTACACACATAGGTGAGGACCCGTGGCTTCCTGTCCCACTTTTCAATTGGGGCAAAGCAGTTGAATGCTGGATGCTTTTTGGAGATGCGTTGGCTTAAGTTCCTGTGAATCCAGGGTTCCTGTATGAGAAGAATGTCAGTCTTTCTTTCAAATGCTAGATTGAGGGCCGTCTCGTGTGCTGGGCCCTCTTTTCCTACATTGACTTGCATAATCTGCAGGAATTGTGGGGACCTAGAGTTCTTCTTCATTGAGTAGCTGAAAGGAGGGTGTTGTTGCATGAGGTGACATGTTGAGTGTTGCATTAGGTGTTGGGTTGGACACCATGCCTAATGCTGTGCCTGATGCTGTGCTCAATGCTGTGCTTGGTGCTGTGTTTGATGTCAGCGTGAGGTTAGATCTACACTCAGTAGAGTCATTCAACCTCAGGTCTGCTGATGGACCTCAACCACCACATTTGCTGTTACTTGCCTTGGCCAAGTATGCCTTACTCTGTGCATTGCGGATATCCCTCAGCTGGTTCTTAGAACTGCATTTTTTGCAGTGAGGGACGCGGAGGCAGTATCTCTCTTGATGGAATCCCCAGCATTTGCTGCATTGTTGTATTTTGACCTTAGGTGCCTTTCTGATCACTGGTCTTTGATATCCATATAGTTCCACTTTTGATGGCAGGTTTACTGCTGTCTCTTGTGAAAAGTGTAATATAAGGGTGGCTGTTGGGTTTCCAGGGTGTATTTTTGCCCAGTGACTCTGGACAGGCTTGATTCTGGTTTGGAGTGTGAATTCTTCTGTCATGGATTCTGCTGAGAGACGCAGAGTTCCACCATCATAGTCACTAATCTCCATGGGCAGCCCAGGAATCAGGCAGGTGATCCAATGTTCTTCCTTCTCTATCTGAGCATTGGTGAGAGTGGCTGCTAAAACATTCTTTTGGGCTAGCAGGGCCTCCATGTCTTGCAAGCTTCTAGGAATGATGGCAATGCCTGTGGGGATGGCTTGAACTGCTGTGATGGCTGCTGCCAAAGGCCCCGGGAGTTCAGCCTTCAGCTTTCTAAGAGTAGCAATTGGGCTTGCTTTGTGAGCTAGATGATCTGAAGGCAGGCGCGCGAGGATTCATGGTGTTTTTCCTTCTCTGGGGTTATTTCTAAGCAGGGGTTTCTGCAGTACGGTTGCTGGTGTTTTTGTTGCATTGGTGCTGTCTGCAGCTGTCTTTGCGTAGGTAGGAGCACTTGCATCATTTGCACCAGTGGAGCCAGCAGGCTTGATTGTGGTGGACTGCTTAGCTGTTTCTAGACTTCCATTGTACCAGTCCTTGACTAACGCCTTCACGGCGGCTCCAAGGGCCAGTGCCCTTGATAGGCCTTTTGCCTTCATGACATCTAGGTCTTCTTCAATCCGATCAAGCATATTTGCAGCAGCTAGTGCTTCTGCATGGGATTTCTGTGCCTCAGCCTCGTGGGCGGCTAGGAGATCGCTAGCCATCGGGCCACGTAGGTTGAGACGTATTGGTGCGACATTTCTGCTCTTTGAGCTGCCTGCTGGTGTAGGGGAGCTTGGAGGCTCCATGTCATTCAGTTCACATGTGCGGCGGGCGATTGGGGTGAGGAGATGGGGTCTCTTGGGTGGACGGCGTATGGGGGAGCAGATGCGCGTCAAGGCTCGGGACGCGTTCGGTGGTGTTGGGGGGCTGGGCGCGCTGGCGGCGCTGCGTCGGCACGCCATCAGGCTTGCTGCCTGAGGGGATGGGAGAGAGCTTATAGGGATGTGATCAGGATTGATTAAGATGTTTTTGTATAACAGTTCTGACCTTCGTTCGCTGCTGCTTGGACCTGAGGTGGTTTCACTGAACGAAGTTGGCACTTGCAGGCAGTTAGAACCGCGGTCACATGATACCGAGTCTACGGCATTCTTTCGAAATATCGCAAATCAACAGGTTCGCATGGGGTGGATTTCAACCGTGGAGATTCTCCTGGTAACCCAACAACTATGGGTGGGTGGTGATGAAGTTGGGTCGTCTGATATCTACCCATATTGAGAGCGCGTCTGTCGATGAACAATGTTCCACCTCGATTTATTGATACAGGAATAGAGAACTTTTGACTTAGTTGAAGTGGTTTCCTGGCTACGCTCCTCCCCAGTCTCTTAACTTCAAGGGAAAGAGTTGATTTCGAATCGTTGACAGTACCTCACATGCGACCATTTAAGCTAGGCTAGAACTATGAGACAAAGCCTAGTTACCAGATAAAAATAGGGGGGAAAAGAAGAATGGCAGGACTTCATTATAAAGTTTACAAGACATCGCAGAGCGCCACGATCCTCATAGTCGCAAATCTACAGTCACACCACGTCTTTGACAAAATCTACATATCGACGACAAGAAATGTCTCGCGTTTGATGGCTTTCGAGTCCCTTAGCGGCGGATTGGCCCATCTCGATGCGGAAGCGGAAACATTCCCCACCCTTATATTGAAGTTTTAACGTAGACGCCATCCACTTCCCCCCCCTTCCTTCTGGGGGCAGAAAGGCTGTACAAAACGCATAGCGAAAAGCACTGTGGAGAGACATACATTTTGCGTGCATCAAAGTGTCTGATAAAGCAGATCATTGAAAGAACATTCTTGACAAGAACTATATCAAACAAAGAGATAACTTCTTATTGTCTTCGATATCAATAATACCCTGGTCTGAAAGGGATATTCCAACGCTGCGCACCATCGACCTGTGCCAATCTCCCTTCATCGCAGACAAGTAAAAATGAGTTAGAAGGAGACTCTACTAGAGTGCTGATGTGACGCGCGAAAGGATTATAGGATCCCTGTCATTCCTTGGTCAATTTAGGCGCCAGCCAGCCGCACAGTGCGCACCAAAAACAAAAGGCCTAATCCTCCAGAGACAGCGCCTCGTCACTTAAATTCCACTATCCGGCCGAGACGAACAGTGAAGTTAGCTACATTTACCGCATAATAATTGCACTCGTGGGAGACCATCTTTAATCCTCCCCTCCGCTTTTTATCTCGGAGCTATTTTCAAAGCAGTCACGGGTTTGAAACGTCGTAACGTCGAGAGATAAGAACATCTATTACCTTGTTCAGGTTCGTTTTTTAGTTTATCATTTTTTTATTGTTTATCATTCTGTTGGACGTAGTTATTTCTTTTCATGATTTCGTTCTTTGTTTAATGATATTACCCCTTGATGACCAAGTACGGGATAAATTTGAATACAGAAAAGAATGATATCAATTCTTCCTCTGCTGAGCAGACAGCAACACTCTCTATCATAAATCTGACCAAATAAATTCAAACACAGAAAATATTAACAAGAAGCAGACTACGTGTTCATGACCCTTTCATTCAGCTGAATGCTTTTTCAATCATGCAACAAGTTTCAGTCGCAAAAACACGAGATGAACCAGCTCACCCCATGAAACTGCTTTCACAAACATCGTCCCTCTGGAAAAGTTAACTAGCAGTATCTATATTCCTGAAGAATATATGATAGTTGTTACATATCCTAGCACCGTTTCCATTTGAATATCACGGCATGTCCAAACTGTCCCTCTGTGGACGTGCTCGCGAGTTTACCGGTCCCGCGAACCGACACCTCTTGCTTCACGTTAAGCAGGGTTTGCGTGTTTCCACAAGGCGACCAGGTGTCCCAAACCACCATGTCCTGTGCTTCGAAATCCTTGGATGTAGGGCCCGTGAAATCCATCCTGCTGACTGCCTGTGGTTTTTGTTGCGCCGCATTAGTGACTATAGATTCCAAAGGCATAGGATATGCACTGGATGAGATTGTTAGGAGACTTACCTGGGAAGTCTCTCCAGAGAAATAGTATGTAGTTTTAAACCACGCTGTGGAATCCTTCTGCAATGAAACACGGCCCTTATATTCGGCCCCTAGGATGGAAAATGACCAGCCCTGAGGGTAGATGAGGTCGAAGTTCAACTGGCAAAACCGGCGACGGTCAGGATACGTAGTATCCGGTCCGCCCACGGCATACAAGTCCTTTGTCCGGATGGGACATTTGGTGCCGTGGTCGTCAACTTCAATATCTAATGATCCCTGCTTGCAGCCGCTGCCGCCATAGAAGACCCCTCGAATATGCACGCCTGCTGGACTCACTTCCTCTGATTCTGGAAACGGATTTGGAAGTGCTACAGCAGATGCGAGAGGGAGGAGGAAAAGAAGGGACAGATACTTCATGTTGGATTGCAATGTAGTTTCTAGTCCGGGTGTTACTGGGTGGTAGTTGTTGATGGGGATTCAACGGAAGGAGAGAAAAATGAAACTTTGCGTTGAAAATATAATTTAGAATCCCGAGAGTCCAGAAAAAGATGAACAATACTTGCAGTTGTGGAAGAGAGAGTTGCTTCGAAAGAGGGACTCATGGAGCATTTAAGGACTCTGGGGGCATGGAGATGATCAACTGCTAGCAGCATCTCCAGCAAAGGCTCCAGGTTCAGATGCCTAGATCCTTGGAGTAAAAACTTTTGCCAAACACCGAGGATTGATCCTACGGCCTGAAACAAAAGAAAATTGCGAGAAACGACCGGCTTCCCCGTCTCTCACACTTCTCCGCTGCCCTCATCCCAGGTGGCACCAGGAATCCTAGTCCGCATGCCATATAGCGGAGGGCCTTATAGTTTAAACATGTAAGCGCTAGGCCCGCCGTGCACCCAGAGCCCGGCACTGCGCGACATGCTCCCGAACCCACCCCTTCCTGTCTGCCATTCCGGCTTGATCAGATAGTCTGTCAGATGTCCCTTTCAGTGAAGGGCTGCGTGCACGGTCCATCGGCCCGCTTCCAACGATATTATAGTAATATCGGGGAAGCCAGGTGAACTCTAAGCCAGCGACGGATTTCCGGGAGTGGCGAACGGATAGTGGGAGGAAAAGAACCATAGTGCTAGATAACTCCGCCTGATCTTGATGTATTGTACACGGAGAGATATATCGCGACTGCAACCACACAAAAAGCCACAGATCCAACAGCTGCCGAACAGTTCAATATAAGTTCAACGTAGTGTTGCAAGCGTAGAATTCTGGGCGAGTTAATGTTTTACCACTTCCGTGGGTTGAAGACGGAAGACTGGGGTATGGAAACATGGTTACTTGCAACTAAAAAGGGAAAATGCATGAAAGTTGTTCCTCTAGTTAAAACACCTCGGAGGTAGGTATATAGTTGGGTAATTATCCCTGGATATCTGTTGTGTAGCTTTCTCTTCCACAGTCAACAAATTCCTATCAAGCTATGACATATTTTAGTTAAAAGCCAAGTAGTTACCGGGGAACCTTTTCCTTGTTCCCTTTCCCCGCTCGCCCCCCTGGCAATGTGAGAGATTTCTTTGCGGGGAGGGGAATGAAACGGCACATGAACTCATTTGAGTCTAGTAACTAGCTGCGCGTGTATCAATAACTACAGCAAACCGAAAAGAAGGGCCTCCAAACCTGTATATTTGCGCATACAACATTAGAAAATTTGAATTATCTTAAAAACTTCATCAATAGTTTATAGCTACCTGGTTATTTATTATATGCGGGTCATCTTTATGAAACGGTGGCATCTATAGTGTCATGCTGAGATAGATGTTAACAAGGAGAAACTCGATTCAAAACAATTCGAAACATTGGGGATTTGATAATTTCTGCACATATGTCATCAATTCCAGTTAAGTTTGTGTAGAGGCCCATCTTAACGACAAATGCATGGAGTCAAATTCCGCGAGTTTGATGAATCATCACCATGCAGCAACCACCGGGTTGCTGATGAAGGAAATAAAAGGGGGCATGTGGCAAGTCATAATATTCTGCTCCTAGCAACATGATATAGGCCGTTAAACCCCCCCTCCATCCAGTGGATCGCACTCGTGATCTACTTTATGTGACCATGTTCTCCAAAATAAAAAATCACCCCACATGCTAAACCAACTACTGCATCAAGAAGCTCGACTTGTCTGGCCGCGCATCTATCAGGGTCTTAAGCTAACAATGGGCATAGCAAAAAAAAAAAAATTGAAATCAAAGCGGAGAAGGTTTGTCATGAGACTACGTATGCCACGATGGAAGCATCTAAGTGCCCATGACGTTGTTTGCACCAAAATTGTGGCCATATCCATGTTTTAGCAGATAGCGTGAGTTTTCCCTGTCTTTCCTTGTAGGGAGTGGTCTTCATCCTGGTAATGGGGGTGATTATGAGTTGCCTTGCCGACGTTGGAAACGTGTTGGCGGATATGGCTGGGTAGTTAAAAGATCAGCAATGTAAACAATCAAAAACAATGAAGAAATAAATAAAAAAAAGAAAAGAATAGAAAGAAAAGAAACGGTCACATACTGTTGATATTTCTCCATAACTTTTCGGTCCATCTCACTCAGCTGCTCCAATGCAAGTTTGATATCAGCCAGCAACGAATCGCAACGACTTCTGCTAAAGTCTTCTCGAACCACAATACGCATGAGTTTCAACTGCTCACTATGCGGCGCCATGGTATATGCAGGAACAACCCAGCCGCGTTCCCGCAACTGGTGAGCCAGCGCAAACTCATCAAACTCATAGCCCTGGTCAGAAGATAGATGGAAGGCTACAAGAGGCAGACCATGGCCCCTCCCGTCGCTCATGATGATGAAACCTAATTCTTTCAGCACTGAGGAGAGATAGTCCGCGGTGCGCGTGAGATTGATCATTATATTGCGGTAGCCGCGTTTCCCAAGGCGGATCATTTGATAATACTGGCCGATAACTTGCGACGCGCCCTTGGAGAAGTTTAGGGTAAAGCTGGCTTGTTCGGCCCCAAGATAGTTAATGTTGAAAACGAGCTCCTTGGGGAGATATTCCGGAGAACGCCAAACAATCCAGCCAACACCCGGGTATACCTGAGATTGGATTAGCATGGTAGAGCGACGTGTATGACTTTATATAATGTACATACGAGACCATATTTGTGTCCAGAGACATTTATAGAAACAACCTTCTCAAGTCTGAAATCCCATTCCAAATTCGGGTTTACAAAGGGTGCCACAAATCCACCGCTTGCTGCGTCAACATGGATGGGACAATCGATTCCACGTTCGACAAGAAGATCGTTAATCCTCTGTACATCTTCATACTGGCCAGTGTATGTGGTGCCTAAAATTGCACAAATGCCAATGGTATTCTCATCCACGAGATTGACAGCCTCTTCTGGATCAATGACGTATCTATCACTGGTGCAGTAGACGAATTTCTCCTCAATTTCAAAATATCTCGCTGCCTTTTCCCAACATACCTGAACAGCGCTGCTCATAATAATGTTGGGATTGGAGCAATCTTTTCCTTCTGCCCTTCTTTTATTTTGCCAGCGCCTTTTCATAGCGAGCGTGCCCAGCATGATGGCTTCGGAAGAACCTACGCACGAGGTCCCCATGGCATGTTCTTCCGAATCTTCTCCAGGAGCATTGAACATGCGAGCAATCATGTTGACGCAGCGGTTCTGAATCTCTGCAGACTGTGGGTATTCCTCGTAGTCAATGAAGTTCTTGCTCAACGACTCAGTCATGAGTTTTTCAGCTTCCTCCTCCTAGATTTGGTGCGCCAAGAAATTAGAATAACTAGCTAACTACATGGCTGAACCACAGCTACCAAGCAGCCAGTTCAAGCAGTTGTGTATAACCGGGGTAAACGTTGTTCTAGAACGCTTACCATGTATGTGGTAACGAAACTCGCCAAGCTATATCACGCAAGTTAGCTATTTTTGAGGGTGGAAAAATATGAAAAATTAACATTGAAGTAACCGTTGCCTGAGACGGCGCGACTCGGCAGTAGCCTACAGGTGCAAATTAGGGACCTCAGAACGTACTTCAACATAGGATTCCCATCCAGACTCAACTCGTCCTTGATCATTCTATATGCCACCTCCTTGGGCATTTCTTTCTCCGGCATCTCGAGTGTAGGCAGGTCCTCTGCCGCGAACCGAGAGCCATAGACGCTGGAGAAGAAGTCATGTTCCTGAGGCTCCTCAAGGGGGATGGTTTCGATACGCTGAATTGGTCTATTCGGAAGCGCAACTGATTCCCTTCGGATTGCTGCGAGATGAACCATGATTGCTGATGTCGAGGTTCCTGGTAATTTTGAATATAGATACTCGATGTGAAGTTTTTCTTAATCCGTTGCTTGTTGTCAAGATAGAACGATAACTTCAAAGAATTAAAACTAATAAAGCGCATCAAAGATAGAGATAAACATGGGAGATCAATCCACTCTTTGACCTGCTCAAACGCGTACGCTTTCGTTTTCCCCCCTGCTTCCTTAGTCAGGATATATAGTTAACCCCTCCTCTTTGATAATCAAGACCTGTCTTTTTGACGCAGCAAGGAAGTGTCTGAAAACCAACTCTACCTCAAGCCACTGATTTTTGCGTAAATGACATTGCAAACAACAACAGGAAAGAAAATGGTCAATGGCAAAAATGAGGGAAACTTCGTATAGCTACTCTCTATCGGAGTACAGAGATTTATTAACGGCAACCCCGCAGAAATCTCTCCCTGCAGCGCGCCGCTCATAGTTACTGATTATAAGGATTGGGGCCACAAAAGGGCTGTGGATGGAGGAGCGTGTTCCCCTCCTAAAACGTGCCAGCTGCCTAATCAGGTGGGGTTTCAGGGAGAGGAATTAAGTTTGCTTGTTTTCCACTGTTACCGTGGGACCAATAACGATTCAGCGCAACAGCCAAATCCCTCAATTACTAGGCAAACACTGAAGCGAAGATCCTCTTATCACTGGTTAGACACAATGTTTCTTCATCCATGAGCAAAATAGCCCTAGTACGGACGTCTAACTAGGAGTGAGAAAAATGATTCTGCACCATCGCTGGTTCTGGTCGGCTCCAAGTAATGTGCACCCGTGACGAGTTTAATTCAACAAGGGTTTGTTTGTGCCGGCTGATGAGAGAAATATTTCTGCATATTCTATCAAATGCAGGTAGGTAGATTCTCCTAGTTGACTGGTAGTTAGTTAGTTGTTCAAAGAGCAAAGCAATGCCAGCAAGATTTACCAGCACGCACCGAGGGGCTGAGGAATTGGTATCCCCAGGTCTCCAATGAATGGCTGACACGTGTATTTCTCTGAACTGCATTGGGATTCATACGTTTGTACGGTAGACTTTTTTTTTTTTTTTTTTTTCAAAATTTAGCTGTCGTATGATTGGAAGTTAGTATGCTAGAATTCATTTGATGAAAATTTGTGGGATGGTTGATTCTTCATTGTAACAAGAAGCCAGCTAATTTTACACAGCTAATTTTACAATATTAATCAACCCAATATAATTTTGGCCATTCAAGTCATGTGATCTCA